TAATGGGCTCCATTTAAAGATTGTAGCCATGCCAAAGTCAGATTGAAGACTGACTGTTGAAAGCTCTAATCTTTCTTCAACCAAATCAAGCATAGCTTTATTGCTCTCAAAAGGTGTTAAGATAAACATGCCCTTTAACTTCAACTGTAGTATTAGCAGGTCTGAGATAGCCAGTCATCCTGCTCTGTCGATTACTTTTTGCCATGGCCACAAACTCTTACTCCAGGACTTCATCTTTACTGGAGCTTTTGTTCATCTTTTCCTCCACCGAGATCTCCAGCTGTGCTGTTACCAGGCATTGGAGGAATTCATTCAGTTGTCTGGTAATTTCCTTCCATCCAAGTCTCTATTTTCATCAGGAAAGCAGGCCAGCTGCTTTCTGTCTTTAACGAAGAATTCAAGTAAAGCTAGATAACCTCCTTTACTGTTCCTTCAGCATTCTAAAACATACCTCTTTCCTTCTTCAGTACTCGGTTCCTTCCAGTTTCTTTGCTTACCTTTGGAACTTGTTTCCATCACAAAGTTCCTAAACCATTCGATCACTTCTATTTCTATAGTATCTATTAACAGAAGAAGAGAGGAGAAATAAGGAAGAAGAGAAGAGAAAGGTTTTGAAGTCAACTTACTGACTGGCGGCACTAGCTTATATTATTATATATAGGGCGACCATAATTAAAAGGGAAAAGACCCTTATGCCCCTACTTAAGTTAGAGTATGTAAACAATGATAAAAAAGTACTTTAACCAGACCAAACAGACCCTAACTCAGCAGAATACAAACATAAAAAATAAAATAAACATTCCAACAGTATCTGTACCTTGGAGCAACACTATTGCCTTTACTTCCCTGATTTTCAAACTCAGCACTCCCTTGATTTTTAGTTCTTCAAACAGAAACTCCTTCACTTCAACTTCAAAGCTCTCCTCCATCATCCTGCAAACACAAACCCCTCCACCACTTATTAATGCAATCTCTTGATCATTGACCAGTCAGAAAATATGTCCCATAGAAAAAAAAGATTTTACACAACCCTAAGGAACACTGGCATGTAATAAACAGGCAGGTTGCTAGTGTGGGCCTTATAAGAGTAATCATTCCTCCTAAAGACAACTAGTTTTTCTTCCAAGAAGCAAGTCATTTAGCAATTCAGCAATAGGGTCACAAAATCAACTCTTCCTTTGAGACATCTTACAGCCCAAAATATTTGCATACTCTGACAACTCCCTCTCATCCACATTTACACTCACAATGCAACTTTTCTCAAAATTCACTTTAAGATTTGGGATCTGTTCAAAAAAGTTGGACTGCTAATTTGATATTCCTGATCCACCTTCTATTCCCTCCTTTACAAAACGGGATTGTATCATCTGCAAGTTGCAAATGTGTAATTGGTATCCCATCACGACCTACCTTCCAGCCCCCCTCACCAAACCTTGTGAATCCACCTTAGAAATTAATTTTCCTAGGACCTCAACTATTAGGGTAAAGAGAAGGGAGAGATGGCCCCCTTGTCTCACACCTCTTAAAGCCGGAAAGAAATCCACCACTATTCCATTCACCAATAGAGAGTAATGGCATGCCCTAATTCACCCCATTATCCACTTGCGCTATCTTTCTCCAAACCCAAAGCTCCTCATTACTTCCTACAAGAAAGACCAATTTATCATATTATAAACCTTTTCCAAGTCTAGCATGCAAACTAAACTTTTCTTTCCTACTCTCTTCATTTCCTCCACACTTTCATTAGCAATTAGGATTTGATTAGTGATTGCCTACTCATCACAAAAGTCCCTTGGTTGGGTGAATGATTTTCCTATTCACTTTAGTTGCCAATGCTTTTAGTAGACTCCTCTCAGAAGCGGATAGGGCTGGATCTTTAAGAGGGTGGAGAATAGGTAGAGATAGAGTTTCAGTAACCCATTTTCAATTTGCAGATGACATAATAATCTTTTGTGAAGGTTGTGATCTGATGGTGGTAATGAATCTGAAGGATTTAATAATTCACTTTGAGAGGGCCTCAAATTTGAAGATAAATTTTGAGAAGAGCTGTGTTGTGGGAATTCATTTGAACAGAGAGAAGATGGAGTCTATAGCAGTCTCGTTAGAATGCACTTGGTCTTAGTGGCCTCTATCCTACCTAGGACTTCCCTTAGGTGCAAATCCAAAGGAAAGTAGGTTCTGGAACCCGGTGGTGGAAAAATTCGAAAGAAGATGGCTAACTTGGAAGAGAAACTATATTTCCATGGGGGGTAGAATTACTTTGATTAAAGCAACTTTAGCCAACTTGCCTTTATATTTCCTGTTAGTCTTTAGACTTCCTAAAAGGGAGGCAAAGAGGTTGGAAAAACCGATGAGGGACTTCTTATGGGAACCTGGGGAAGAGAAAAAAGATCACTTGATTAGGTGGGAGGTGGTGAGTTGAAGCAAAAATGGAGGCCTAGGCTTAGGGAATGTGGTGAGTAATAATGAAGCTCTTTTAGGTAAGTGGCTTTGGAGGTGGCCCCTGGAGAGGAGGGAGAGGTTGTGGCATGAAGTAGTGAAGAGTATCCATGGCTGTTCTGAATCAGGTTGGGACGCGGGGGTATCCCTAAGGGCTTTGCTCACAATACCTTGGAAGGCTATTTCTGGCATTCTCCCCAAATTCCTTAGATTTGTAAGGTATGATGCTTGTTTTGGAAACTCCATTCTTTTTTGGGAAGATATTGGGTGAGCACTCAACCCCTAAAAGACCGTTTACCTTCTCTCTATTCCATCTTCCTCTTTAAAAAGAAACCCATTTCATGGTTCCTTCCCCCCCGGTTCTCCCTTTGGCTTTAAACTGGGATTTTGGGTTTTGAAGATAGTTAAGGGATGAAGAATTTCTTTGTGTCTCAGAGCTCTTGTTGCTTCTAGACTTGGTGTGTTTGGACCCCCCAACCCGGATAAGAGGGTTTGGTCTCTTAACCCCGGTTGGCTCCTTCACTTGTGCATCTTTTCTTTAAAGCCCTTTGCTCCAACCCCTCCTCTCAGGTCTTCCCTGTTAAAGAGGTTTGGTCAAGGCCAATACCCCCTCAAATAGCAGTGTTCTGTTGGGAAGCCTATTATGATAAGATCAATACTGTGGAAAACTTGCAAAAGAAGAAACCTTATATGTGTTTGTCCCCAAATTGGTGCTTTTTGTGTAAAGTGAAGGGTGAGGACTGTAACCATTTGCTGATATCATGCTCTTTTGCTGCCAATATTTGGAATTGGGTTGTTACATTATTTGGGTGCAGGTGGAACTTGCCCTCCGAAGTAATGCTGCTTTTCACTCCGGCTGCCTTTGGGAGATTGACAAAAAGAGGGAAGCTAATGTGGAAATGTATCAGAGCCGCTACCTTGTGGACATTATGGGAGGAGAGAAATGCTAGAATATTTGAAGAAAAGGAAAGAAGTCTTGCTGAAATTAAGGAATGCATAATGACAAGGACAATCTCGTCGCTGAAATCTTCACACTTGTTGGCAGATTACTCCTTTGATGATTTAAGGAGAAACTTGGCAGCAATGGCTTCTACAGTCTCCACAAAGAACAAATCACAAGCTGAATGGAAACCCCCACCGGATGGAGTGGTAAAATTGAATTTTGATGGTAGCTGCCAGGGTAACCCAGGGCCATCCGGAATAGGAGGGATTCTAAGAGCCAAAGACAGCAACATGTTGTCTTTATTTTCAGGACCAGTGGGTGTTGGTGATTCTGTAAGGGCATAGTTATTAGCAGCAGTACAAGGTATCCAGATGGCCAGTCAACTTGGAGTGAACAATTTGACAGTGAAGGGGATTCCAAAGTAGTAGTGGGCTGGCTGACAAGTCCAGAAACAACTTGTTGGGGCTACAGGGATCTGTTAAAGGAAGTTAAATGGATGACAAGAAATATGACTGCCAGGTTTTGGTGGGTCAGCAGATCAGTAAATGCAATGGCTGATTCTCTGGCCAAGCAAGGGGTGTCAAGGGGAGATCTGTTTTGGCCTACTTTGTAATTGTGTTTCAGGCTTGTGTATGTTTAGCGTATATGGTTCAGTCCTCGGGGGAGGTAACACCTCGTGTCCTCCTAGGCTGACTGTACTTTCGTTATTTGAATTAATAAAACTACTCTCATTTATATATAAAAAAAGATACAACCTTGGTTGTAACTTTGTACAAACTACTCACCAAGCTAATTGGCCTGAAATCTTGAGGATGGGCTGCAACAACTTTCATGGGCACCGAGGCAATGAAAGTTGAATTCAGGCTTGGGTTTATAACACCTCTCCTAAAAATTCACTAAACATTTACTGCAAATCATCTTTTAGGATGTCTCAACAATCTTGGTAAAAAGCTATTGTGAACCCATCCGGCCATGGCGCTTTAAATCTGTCCATAGAAAATAAAAGGAAGACTCATTGGACAGACCAATGATTGAAAATGCAGTGGAAATAACAGTAGATACTAACTGTTGCACCTTCTCCTCAGTAAGAATACCAGAAGGCTCACCCTTGGTTGTGGGCCCATCTGAAGAAGAGGGAATTGTAGCACCACCAGTAATATTATCCACACTAGTCTGAAAGGCCTTGTGCTACCTCTTTGATAAATCCTTTTTAGGATTGGACCTATTTGCCAAGAAAAATGCTTTTGCCCCCATATCCTGCTTCCTGCTGATAGCTGACTGAGTTACGTCTTGTTTCCTCCCTTAAAAGCTCTCAAAAATCACATCTAGGCAATGATGGTATCTCTACTCAAAATATTGGACCTGATCACCTCACTTGCAGATCATCACATTCACAGCTCTTTTTGGGCAACCTTGTAATGATTTGATTATAGTGTACAGTGGTTTCTTAACTTTCTTTTACTTTCAAGAGAGGTCACACCTCGTGCCTCTCTTTGGGGTGCTGTAATTTTGCTTACATATTGGTAATGAAGTAACTTTTCAATCATTGAGAAAAAGAGTTTAGATAAATGAGGAAGTGTAAGACCTGCTAAATATGTTATTGATCATCTGTCTGCAGGTTCCTGCTCGGGCAGCAGCTGCAGCTGCTGTTGCTCGAGCTCTTGCTGGACTTCCTCCTCATCAAAGACATAACCTACCATCAAGTTCTGAAGAATTGGTTTCAATATATGGAAGCAGATCACCTAGTCAAATAATTGAAGAACTAGAGGAGGACTTCTATAAAGAGGTTTTACTTATTATGTTTTCTGTTTTTGTGTGGAATCCAATCCACCCCATATTTGATTTGTATTACTTTTGATTTTTCAGTTTCTTTATTGTGGTTAAATGCTGCTATAATTCCATGTAAGCAGGATTTTGATCCAGTTAGACATGTTCTGGAGAATATACCATCTGAAGAGAATGATCTTACCTATTTTGAGGAAAAGGTATCAAATTTATGCTTTTCCAGATTTGATCTCAGTTTGATGCTGCATGGTTCTTTTATGACACTTTCTTTTGGCATATCTTTTTCTTGTATTTCGTTATTTATTTCAGGATAATAAGTTTGGGATGCATTGATATAATTTCCTTTTTGATGGTAGAAAGAAAAGTGCATTAAATATAATATTTTTAATTTCAAAGAATTATAATATTTTTTGAACAGAAGTGAATTTTTTTGAGTCTAAAAGAAGTACTTATCAAGTATGTTTTTCTGTAATCAAGTCACTATCCCAAGGAAACAGTAAAGTCAAGATAATCCTATCAAGGTTGTCATTGAAACTACTGTAATATCAGATTATTCATTTGTTTTATTTTTTGAGAGCAAGGAAAGTATTGTATTCAAAGTATATATTCACGAGTTTTATGAAGAGAAAAACTTTGCCCATACTATACAAAAAGACCCAGCAGACATTGATAGAGAATAAAAAACATAAACTCCCAAGCCCATCCTGGTTCTAAGCAAAAATCAACTCAGAAGAGAATCATCATCCTCATACCATCGTCTAAGCCTTATCGCAACCATATGGGATGGTGGGGTCTTAGGGATGCAGGGGGTAGAGCGACAATCATATATTCAGGCCCATTTGGAGTAGGGGATTCACTAAGAGCAGAAGCCATGGTACTACAAGGAATGAGGATAGCAAAACAATGTGGCTTATTTTTTGATAATTAACATGATTTCGATTCATTAATATAAACAGGTATGTCCAATGAAGGTCCAATAAAGGGATAGAATTACCCCTTTAGAACAAAAATTACAATTGAGCCCAATACAGTTGCTCCCTATTTACCCCTTGTTTGGCTGAGGAATCAACCAACCCATTTGCAGCCCTTGGAATCCATTGAAAAGTAGTTGTCATTTTAGGTTTAGGGGGATTCCAAATTGGTGATATCCTGGATGAGTGATAATAGCCCTGGAATATGGATGCACAGACACACTATAAGAGAAATAAAGAGCATAGCAAGGGAGTTGGGGACAACCATTACATGGGTAAAGAGGAAAGTAAATGGGATCACCCACTACTTGGCTAAAAAAGGGGTGCATAAGGAACAACTGTTTTGGGCTGACTTTTAAATGAGATTTTTGGCTTGTAAAAGAATGTCTAATTTGTATTAATCTCACTATGTAATATGCTTTATTCTGATTGAATGAATGAAATCATTTTGCAGATAAAAAAGAATATTCCTAGGATGGTCTAGACACATCTAGACAATGGACCATTCTACATGACTCTAGAGTGCTCCAGGATCCTGTAGATCTTCAGAAAGCTCTTGAAGCATTTGGCCTTGGCTAGAATGGTGCAGAAACGCCATTAGACCTCTAGCCAGATGCCCCTTTGCTCCACAGCTCAGGCGGGGCATGATGGGCCGCTTTAAGATCCTTACAACTATGGAGCAGCAATTACAAAATCTTTATCCACAATAATCTGGTGCCAATAATTATGCAAGTGAGAGAAAGAAATGCTTGAGAACTCCTTGTATGCCTTGAACCAAAAAGCTAACTGCCTTTCCATATGTCCAATTAAACTCAACTTATCTTTTGCTTCCTCCTGAAATATCCTTCTATTTTTTTCTTGCCAAATCCTTCAACATACTACAAAAGGAACCAGTTTCCATAATAGTACTCCTCTTTAGCTCAGGCCACCTGAAGATCAGACGATTTAAAAGGGTTGGCATTTGTTCTTGCCTGCTGAAATTTAAACAATGATTTGCTTTTTTCTATTTTTATCATCCCTCATCTTATGTAATTTATAGAGAAATAATTTAATGTTCTATTGCCCATTATCTCGTGTGCCAACATCATTTTTGGTTCATGATCCAACTTCATTTTGTATCATGTTCTTATATAGGCCACTCTAAGATTAGCACAACTGGATAGGATAGCAGAGAGATTATCACGCCATGTTATGGAGCACCATGAAGAAATGGGTAAGTTTCGTATCAGGTTCCTTGGATCAATTTTTAATTTGTTTATAGATTTATGATTTACATATATCTTATTTATTTCTTTGATTGGTAATGAAACCTTTTTTGCTATTTGCATTTGAGCCCAAGTTCCCTATGAATCCCTTACCTAGCCAAAGCATCAGCCATAACATTTGTGATCTTTGCATCCATTGAGAAGTTGCTTCAAGTTCGCTTGCCAACTTGAAAAAGGTCTTGTATGCGTTGGTGGGATGCTTATTCATTTTCGTCCGTGAACTGAGACACGCTTCAAATTGTATTAGTTCTTTTGTTTTATCAGTAACTGGTTATACTGGGAGTCAGCAATCTTAGTTCAAGATTATAACAGTTTCAACTTTAAGTGGGTGTTTGATACTTATTTTTGGTCAGTGAAGGGGATGCATCTGGTGAGGGAATTGGAACAAGATTTGAAGGTTGCAAATGTTATTTGCATGGTAAGCATTTCTATTTTTTGGGGGAGGGGGTTTTCAATGTATCAGTAACCTTTTAATGGAAGGATAACTTGGAGCAAATGATAATGATCAAGAATGCTACTCTTTCTCCTTGCTGGCTCTTACGCACTAGAGATATTACATTTGACTGTAGTTGTTCATGTGACTATGTGCAGAATGGGAGAAGGCACCTGATCTCTTCGATGCATGAGGTATCAAGGGATCTTATTGTTACTTCAAAATCCAGAAAGAAACAAGCACTTCTGGTATTTACCTTCTCTGAGAACCTTAGGAATATCATGTATCGTGTATACTTACCATCAATTTTGTCTGCCATCATATGTTTAGGCTTTTTAAAAGTTAATGTGGATATATCTGGCTTCGTGTGTGTGTGTATATATATCTGGCTTCTTACTTTTTCCAACTAATCTTCTAACTGTTGGTTTAGTTTTTCATCAGTTAATGTTTCATGATCTCAGTTTTTCATCAGTTAATGTTTCTAACTGTACACAGGGATATTACTATCACTGACCATGCAGTCCTGTACTCCCAACCCTGCTTTGCAAAAAGATTATCATATACTAAAAAAGGAATTGTAATTTCTATTCAAACAATTTTTCTTAGCAAGCCAAGAAAACATTTTCCCCAAAATTTAGAGCTACTTTTATTCTTGAATATCCTTGCATTCCTCTCCTGCCAAAATGCACCTAGAAAATGCTGATGGAGCAATGTTCCATGCCAATTTTCCTCTCTTAGTTAGACTTCCGACTCTCTTGGTTACAGGATATTCTTAGGTAACTTGATCTTTGCGAGACTGGGATTGATGGGATGTTGCAAACTTGCAGGATTTGGTTCCAATTCTAACAGAACTTCGTCATGCAATGGACATGCAAGTGGCACTTGAAACCCATGTTGAGGAAGGAAACTACTGTAAAGTATGTTCTTTATGTTCATTTGTTTTATTTTTGATAATACATAATTGCTGGTTCTCTTTCTGTTTTTTATTTCTGGCATCTGTTGCATATGGGTCTTTTGCATATATTGGCTGATCCATCCTTTTCCGAAATATGCTTTGTAGGCATTTCAAGTTCTGTCAGAGTATTTGCAGCTCTTGGATAGTTTTTCCGAGCTTTCAGCCATACAAGAGATGAGCCGTGGTGTAGAGGTGAAAATTTCCTACAATTAGTTACTATTAAGAAATCCAGTCTTCAAAAAAAAAAAAAAAGAAAAAAAAACATTTGGAAATGTCTACCTTCTGTAGAGCTATTTAACTGATGCACCATGTACTAGAACAACAAATCATTTACTTTCTCAGTTTGCCTATTTGCCATGTGGGTCCTAGCTTTGTATTAGATGTTTATAGTATCCTTCTTGTTTATCATGGTAAAATCATTTACCAATAGAAGTAAAAGAATGGCCAGTGGCCTTCAGAATTTGACAGGGTTGAGATCAATGATTCTTAAATTTGATTCCATATTTCTCAATCTGGGTACATGCTTTTCTTAGCAAAGCTATGCTGTTCGTGCAAGGATGGCTGTTCTTTTTGATATATATATGTGTATATAATATTTCTTTAAATGTTTGCCTATGTAAACAATGTTAGATAATTTATTTACCTCCATATTCTTATTATCCTCTCAGGCTTGGCTGGCAAAGACGCTTCAAAAGCTAGATTCACTATTGCTAGGAGTTTGCCAAGAGTTCAAAGAAGAGAGCTATATAACTGTTAGTATATCCATCTCCAGCAGTGTATTGGATCTTTATTTTCTTTTGGTTTTTACGTAGTCTACAATTGTTATGTCGTTACTGTTTCATGTGCATCTTCTTTTAACCTTAAGGTTACATTTTACTTCTTGTATGTTGTAAACACTCAATTGTAAAGGTCATGGACTATAGGGTCTGGTGGAAAACCTGCCTATCATTGGGATGCTTGTAATGTTGTAAATACTTCATTCTTTCATTGGTTCAGTAAAAATAACTGTATTACTTATCAAAGCATTAATCAATGCTATCAGATTTTTGATTCCAACCAACTAGTGGTTGCTCAGTTGGCAAGTCCTCTGGCTAGTTGCAGCAGAGACTTGGGATCAAATCCCATCGCCACCAGGGTTGGGAGGGTTATGGGTATGGGGGATGGGCTTCTCCCCATCATGTAGGCCCATGAAGCAGCAAAAAAAAAGGGGGGGGGGGTGGTTCTGATTCCATGTACATCCTCATCCTTACAAAATGTGATAATATTTTCAATGGATTGCAGTTGCATCACCAGCACCTGGTGCAATTCCATTTTAATGCTGTTTTGTTAATTAAATGGCTATTTTCAATGGAGCCCTTGCAATGCAGTGAAGAAATCTTTTGCAGATCCGTTGACTAACACTGACAGAAGATGCAGTCTATCCATTTTGATCTGGAACTGACATTTTTTTTATAATAAAGCAAAAAATTTATTAAGAAAAAAAGAAGGTATAAAGACAGGTGATGAACAATCACTGGGAGAGAAGAGAAATTAAAACCCCTTCCTGAATGACTTTGATGAGTTCTTCAGGAAAAATGTCACTTAAAACCTACACCAAGTTATATAGACTCTCCTGCCCATATTGATCCAAAATGACTTTGATGAGTTTGTCAAGAAAATGCCAAACTACCAAGTTTAATCCTTTTCTATGTCCAACTCACAGACTATTCCTTTCTTCTTGTCATCTTGTACATGCAATAACTGCACTGTTCTGTGTTTCATCAAGTTATATTTAGGGTGAGCATTTTCAGCCCGCCCCAGCCGAGGCCTGCAATTTTTTTATATAACACACACACAACACACATATATGTTTAATTTTATCATCATCATCATCCAAGCCTTATCTCAACTATATGGGGTCAGCTACGCGAATCCTGTTCTGCCCCTCTGTTCTGTTTAACGCCATGTCAATTGTTAAACTATTTGTGCTTAAATCATTTCTTCCTACTACCCATGTCCTTTTCGGTCTACCCTTTGCCATTCTAGCCCCTTCAACTTGTAATAAATCACTTTTTCTTACGGGTGCTGTTGATGGTTTTCTATGCACATTTTTTTTTTGATAGACACCAGATAAATTTCAGTAAAGGGGAAAGCACTGCTTACATTTGTCCCTCCCCAGACCCCGCATCGACAGGAACCTTGTGTACTGGGCTGCCTTAGGAAACCATTGCTTAAAAAGCTCCAGGCTTAAACAAAGTACAACAGGATTCCAAGAGCAAAATCAACTCCAAAACAGAGCTCTAAGAAGTTCCCCCCCTTCTGGGTCTTGGACAGCCCTATTCAAGGTGATTTTTCTCTACTCCAGCCTTAGTTAAGGAGTCAGCTAGGCCATTAGCACTCCTAGACACCCATTTGGATAGGCTATTCAATGAGGAACCCAAGAATTGTTTCCGCTTCACCAAAGGTCTTCTATAGACATGACTAAACCATTTTAGTCTACTTTTTCTCATTTTTTTTTCACCTATTGGAGCTACACCTAAGTTCCTACAAATTATTTCATTTCTGATCCTATCATTTCTAGTTTTTCCAGTCAGCCATCTCAGCATATAGACATGACTAAACCATTACAACTGTTTTATAGAATTTTCCTTTTTATCTAAGTGGTACTCGACTATCACATAAAACTCCAAAGGCATCACTCCAGTTTACCCATCCTGCTTAAATCCAATGGGTGACACATATTATTTTATAATATTTTATATGTATATAAATTATAAAATATATTTTGTGCATGTATTATGTCATTATATATATATATACATATATTAAATCTGATGTGTTTAATGACTTAGGCCCTGTAGTGAGAATAGACCGAATGGGCCCTACTGTTCTTTATTTCTTTTTAAGTAGTGTTTAAAAGTTATGTTTCTTAGTTAAGGGCCTTCTTTTATTTTCTTTAATTATTTCTTTAGTGCTGGCTGCCCCATTAAGGGCATCTAAGTAATTGTACTCAGACTTAGAATTATTAATAAAAGTGATGAAAGGGGGCTGGAGAGAGAGGTTCAAATTCTTCTTTCCTCTCTTCCCTTCTTTTCTTCTTCCACAACCTATTGCTGAAACTTCTTTTATTCTTTCTCTTTCTCTCTTTTCTTCTTTTCTTGCATTATCTGAATTACTGTAGGTGTAATTTTCAACTTGGTATCAGAGCGGGTTCTAACTTTCGACTTTTTTCTCTTTTCTTTGCCCACACATAGTGTGTATGGAGAACTGATTGGTTAATCAATCAGCTACTTATGCAACCCTGTCAGGAAGTTTTTTGGAGGTTTTTCATCCTTAGTTGAAGCCCAGGGTAGATTCTTGGAGATTTTTCCCGAAAACCCTATATAATTGGAGAAACCTTGTTATTGGTTGTAGAGACAGTTTGAACCAGGCGCTTGGGGATCAGAGGTAAGCCTTTTGATTTCTATTAGGGGTGGTTTTGGTTGGATTGAATTCTGGAATCTCTGGAAGGGGCGGTTGAAGTTTCTCTTTTTCTCCCCATCCCGTAGGACCCTGTGAAACCCAAATTTTGGGTGGTTGAGAGGTTGTTCTTTGCTTAGAATAGTAAATCTAGCCTAGTAAAGCCCTAATTTGATTTTCGTTTGCATCCGTTTACTCAATGGAGCAAACTGGAGGAGAGACCAAATAGTTTACAAATTCTGGGTTTGGACATGGGGGGTCAGTGGAGAATCTTTTTGTGGCTGTGACTACTGTAAAGCTAGATGTGACCAATTATTTAGCGTGGTCTCAATCTATCAAGGTACATGTCTGTAGTAGAGGAAAATGGAGTTATATTACTGGGAGCAAGAAGAAACCGTAGGAGGATGATCTTACCTATGAAAGGTGGATGCAAGAAAACTACATAGTAGTGGGTTGGTTAGTGAATTCTATGCAATCACACATTAGTCAGCATTACCTATGGATAGAAACTGCAAAAGAAGTGTGGGATAGTGTCATAGACACATATTCCCAAAAGCTTAATGTTACTCGGGCTTAGAAATTGAAGCATGATGTGAATAATCTTAGACAGGGGGAGAAGTCCTTAGTAGTCTACTTCTCTATGCTGAAATCTCTTTGGCAAGAGATTGATTTGATGGAGACTGTTGTTTGGGGTTGCATAAAGGATGCAAAAATATATAGGAGGTTGGTGGAGAGAAATTGGGTCTTTGAGTTTCTCATTGGACTCAACTCGGAGTATGATATTGTGAGGCAGAATGTTTTAGCAAAGGATGAGGTGACTTTGTCTCAGGCATATGCTATGGTTAGTAGTGAGGAGAGTAGAAGACAAGTTCAGTATGTTGAGCCACAGGTTGATCACTATGCTAATGCGGGGATGAAGCCAAAGGTTAGCATTGGGAAGAAAGATGTTATCTGTGAATACTACAAGAAGCCTAAACACACTAAAGACACATGTTGGAAGCTGCATCTAGATCTTGTTTCTACAACATTCAAGAAAGAAAATGGTGGGAAAAGGGTTGAAACTAGAAAAGGTGGAAATGCAAATGTAGCCACCTTTTCACAAGGCGAACAAGGACAGGGTGGAGAGAAGTCAATGGGAGAACAACTTGCAGCCACTAAAGCTGAATATGAGAAGTATGGCTGAATCATCAGTCACTTGGAGTCCAGTGCTATAGCTCCTTCAGAGACTGTTCCTTCCTCTACATGTGCTCACTCAGGTATTCGTGCCACTGCACATCATGCTTCTGTCTCATGTACTCATAAAACCCCTTGGATATTTGATTCTGGTGCTTCTGACCATATGACTAGTGTTTTACAGTTATTCACCTCTTACCAACTTTTTGGCCGGGGTAAGATATCCCTTGCTAATGGCTCCCTAGCCCCTATCATGGAAAAGGGAGATAGTAAGGCCTCTAATGCCCTAACCTTATCATCTGTTCTTCATGTACCTAAACTTAATACTAATTTGATTTCAGTTAGTAATTTGACTAAATCCCTGAATTGCAGTGTGACATTTTTTCCTTTATATTGTGTTTTTCAGGACATGGAATCTTAGAAGGTGATTGGGAGTGGCCATGAGATGAATGGGATCTATCTGTTACACATGCCTGAGCAGAGCCAAGTACAATCTAAGAGAATTGCATTTGTTTCAGAGTCCACTAGTCATATTATGTTATGTCATAGTCGTTTGGGTCATCTGTCATTTTTTTCATTGAGTCAGTTGTTTCTAGAGTTATTTAAAGGAATTAGTCTATCATGCTTTCATTGTGAGTCTTATGAGTTCTCAAAGCATTGTAAGAGAACTTATCCTTCATGTAATAAAAGATCAACTATTCTTTTTAATATTGTTCACTATGATGTGTGGGGGCCTTACCATTTACCATGTATGGGTGGGTATAAATATTTCATCCTGTTTATTGATGATTTTTCACGATATACTTGGATTTACTTTATGCACTCTCGGGCTGAAGTGCCTAAACTTGTGCAACAGTTCCATGAACACATACTCTCTCAGTTTAATACTTGTATCAAAATATTCCGGTTAGACAATGCTAAGCAATATTTTGAGAGGACCTTACCTCCTATCTTGAAAAGTTTGGGGTTATTCATCAGAGTTCTTGTGTCCGCACTCCACAACAAAATGGAGTAGCAGAGAGGAAAAATAGATACATTGTGGAAGTTGCAAGGAGCATTCTTTTTGCTACTCATGTTCCTGTGAAGTTTTGGGGTGATGCAGTTTTAACAACTACATACCTTATAAACCGCATGCCTTCTCGAGTCTTGGGGTTAAAATCTCCCTTTGGAGTCCTCTTTCTTGATGTTGAGATTTTCTCTATTGCTTTGAGGGTTTTTGGTTGCACTTGTTATGTCCACATTCCTAGTTGCAAAAGACACAAGTTTGACCCCAAGCTCAAAAGTGTTTCTTACTTGGTTATGCTTCCACACAGAAAGGGTACTGCTGTTTTGATCCCATTAGTGGCACCCAGTTTGTTTCCATGGATGTCACCTTTGCAAAGTTAGTTCCTTTTTATAGTCATCCTTCTG